AGAGCGTTAAGGTCGCACTTTGAGAGAAGTTTGTCTGTGACAATTAGCTAAAAAACGTAAATGTTCATGTGAAAGCCAACTTTAAACGTCAAATGTATAAAATGTTTTTTAAAATTTTAATTAATTTGTTTTAATTAGTGTAAATTAGCTTCACCCATAACTTACAATTTAATTAAGCTATATTATAATATTAATATAAAGTTTCAAATTAAAGCTTACAAGCAATTTTTTATTTAGTATTTTACTTAGTTCTGCAATTGTTTTTATTTGATATTTCAAATAAATTTATTAAAATGTAAATTATATTTTAACCATACTCTATTTAAATTAAATTATATTTTTATCGAGCTCACCAAGAAGTAGCTTGTAACAAATTAAACAAGCTATAATCTTATCTTACACATACAAATAGCTTTTTTTTGAAAAAAAATAAATAAATTGTACCAAGTAAAACTTGTTGAGCCTAAATAAAAAAAAATATTGTGTATACACAAATAATGAAATATTGTGAGAGCTCGCCTATGAAAATGGTTGAACCGAGCTCACCTGCCAAAGTGATTGAACCTAATCTTTCAGATGGAGCAGTCAAATATAAGGGCGCAATAATAAATTCGACTATCTGAATAAATTGGGGTGACAGATAAGAAACCTATCAATCCTTCATTAAGGACGCTGTCGACAATTAGAATAAAAGTCTTTTGAAGGTGACAGAGATGGTGGTCATGCCAATCATATATGTCAACCTTCATTAAGGGCTCTGTCAGACATTTATAACCAACGTCTTTTTAAGATGCCAGAGGCGACACTCCTATTGTTTACATTTGACAGCTCGATGATTACGACTACTACAAATCTCATTCACATTAAAATTATGAAGAGGGAGGCAAACCACATGGCATCAATAATATTATTATTGAGGGCTCCTCCATATACATAAGGAGGAAAAAACCATCCTGCTCTCTCTCTCTCTCTCTCTCTCTCTCTCTCTCTCTCTCTCTCTCTCTCTCTCTCTCTCTCTCTCTCTCTCTCTCTCTCTCTCTCTCTCTCTCTCTCTCTCTCTCTCTCTCTCTCTCTCTCATCTGAGTTAGAGAAGAACTATTTTCTCCAAAAGGCTAGTGAAACAAACTCTAGAGTAATTCATTCTCTTTGAGTCATGTGCATAATACTCCAAAGACCATTGAACAAATCTCATCCATCTCCCTCTCTCTCTCCCATCATCTTCTTTACCTTAACAGGTCTGTATGGATTGTATATATCCACGAATGACACAAGAACCCACTTCCCAAAAAGATTCAACATTCTGAAAGTAGGTCTTTTCTTGGCTGTTTGTATCCACGAGCAATGCAGGATTCTACGTCCCAAAAGAATTTAACAATTTAAATGATATTATTCATGAACGAGACTTAATATAGCTGCAATCAAGCTCATTAACATGCTTATTCATAAGTTTTAAATAATATTTTTCATAAAAATAATTGAATCAAACAACAAGTTGTTCATTTAGCAATCGAGTCCTCACTAATGTATCCAAGTTCGTTTGATTAATTAATTAAGTACATATAAATGAGCACAAATCGAGCAGAGCATAGCAGAGTAGACTGAGGAGTAACTTTTCAAATGCTCGACTCGTTCTCAGCCCTACTGCTTCCAAGATCCTGGATAGAAATATATTTTTTATATATTAAAACCATAATTGGTTAACCCTAGCATCCTCACAACCCCCCTATCTGGTTTCTCATCTCACCTCAATTGCTACTTGCAAGAATCTAGTAAATGGTTGATAATCATAAAGGTGCAAACCCCAAATATTCTCACATTTCCTAAACTACACACTTTCAAAATGTGCTACCAAGCCCACTTATAAGTAAAAGTTACCCCCATGTCATTTGCCTCTCATCAAATCTATCACCTTTGTAATCATTGATGATTAAGATGATCATAAATTTTCTTACATGCTTTAAAATAATTCATTTCTTAAATAAATCTCATTTGATTCTTTTTTTCCAAGTTATTTTACAAGGTTTGATATTTGTTATAGCTTACTTTCTATTGGATTTTGACATAGGCATCCCTTGATTAAAAAAGGTTTATTTGAAAGGCGTTTTCTATGTTAAAAAATTGGGAATTTTACTTTCATTTCATATTAAACATTAAATTTAAATATCTCACACAATATTTTTTTATATTTGCTTATATAACCTCTAAATTTCTTCTAATACTTAAATCTAGCACTCCATTTCTTGAAAAAACATTGTTTCCGGAGTCTGGACGCAAGCTACGTCCAAGACAACAGACGCAATACACCGAGGGCGTTTTTTTCCTCATCCACTCTGTCTGGTGTATCATTGTCCGGATCCAGACTCCGCCATATTTTTTCCCATTTCTTCCCGTCATTTCTTTGTTCCTTCTCTACCAGAAGCCTTCGTGTTCGTGGCAACATGTGGAAACCCATGTTTCTCTTCCAGCTCTCTTGAAAGCGCCCCCTTAATATAGCAATTGTGAGGAGGAGGAGGAGATGAAATGAATTTTAGAGTATAGACTGCTATGCATGTTATGAAAGCAACTGTGAAGCACCATAAAGGAACTTAAGCAGTAATAAGAGATGGTTATTGAAGCCCTCTGCATTTTGTTTTTTTTTTCTTACACTAAGAGGGTGTTTGGTAGCATATTTTAAGTCGGATTTATCCACGTAAATGTAGCCAAGCACAAATAATGTAATAATTAAATCCCTCATTGCGTTAAATCGAGTATTCACTGATTCCGTTTGATTTTCGACGTAAATCCAGATTTACGAGATCTGAGGAATTTGGCTCGTCGGGTTTCCTCCATCAAAATGTGAATTTGATAATTTTGGATCTATCTGATTCAGTAAATCCCACTTAACTTAAATCTGGGATGCAGCCAAACACCACCTAAAATTTCATCATTATACTAAAATATGACATGATCATGTTGTTTTTTTATACTCCAATTGCCTATTTTTAAACGTTAGATTCAATTCTCTTGCTCCCAAATATCGGTGTATTGTTTGATTTTTAGAGTGGAGTGGTTCTTGGAAAACATTTTTTGTTCATCTTGTATTTATCATTTTTTTTAGTAAATATTTTCAAAAGTATGCCTTAGAATTGGACCATTTTCTTCATGGTTATCTCCGTCACTTTGTGTGGAAGAGACTTCGATTATAGTCCAAATCACAATGGGTTATAAGACTTCACTTGGGATTTCTTTCCATGTGGACAATGCAAGTAATTCAAATATAAAATCAAGCTAAGCATTTGTGATAAACTGTTTAGTTTTCTTTGTTCATAAGCAAGCAAATCCACCCTTCTCACTATATGCAACTATATTTACAGCTATCTTATGTTCCTTATCTATTACTAAATCCGTTTATACATGCATCATTAATCAATAATTATAGACAAACTATAGTCCATGCTCAAATGTTTATTGTGAATGACAAAGACAAAATATTTTACTATGCCCAACCCATTAGCAATAAGAAACTGGCCAACTAAATATTAATTTATCACTCCTTGATGTTGGATTCTTCAAACAAACTTTATTTATGGATACTAATACTAATTTTTTATTATTTGATTCCCACTAATTTTTTGTTCTATTTTATTAACATTTGAATGGAACATTGAAATGAAGTTGGAATCAAGTGAAAGTGACCCTAGTTTTCTTAATTCATCCAAGTTGCTTATGTCGCTTATGTTGCTTAAGTTGCTTGCCATAGAGTCTTTCCTTTTGGATTATATCCATATGTTGATGCCAAAAATGTAGTCCAGAGCACAAGAGCAAATGTATGTAGCCAACAAGAAAAATAACCCACTATAAAAAGTTAAGTAATAATGAATTCACCCTTCCTTCACATGATTAGCACTTTTATTCATGGCTTGATGTATGTATTTAATTAAAATTATTTTTTCCTATTGAATTTCTTTCTCTTCTACTCATTGATGTTTACTAGAAATTATTTAGGTTCAGAACATCATGCTTGCGTAGTAAAATGCTA